ATAATGCTTTTTAAGCTGCTTGGGTTAATGTCGACCAGCGGTTGTTCATATGTACCGTTCTCTTCAGAAATTAATTCTTTTCATGATTATTCATGAGTCATTTGAAGTTAGGCCATCATCAAAAAACCTGGAAGCACTAGATGACGGTTTTGTCCTATTGTGGTACTCCTCACCAGTGCGCATCCACGATCCCTCATCGCGAGATTCGAACCCAGGACCTACAGATCTTGAGCCAGAGCACTTACTGATACACAATAGTGTAACACGAATAATGTAGCATATTCCTTCATTCGTTAGTAATTAATATAATAATTTCCTTAACCACCCATATGAATCTAATTCCAAAAATATTGTGCAGTCTTAGTTAAATGAAAAGATTAATTCAATAAACTAAGTGAAAGCATGGAATTTAAACACCAAAAGCAAGAGGGACATAAACAAATAGAAGTATAAAAGGAGTCTGTGTTGTGTACAAATCAAAAAGATCCTACTATACAAACAGATCTAGTTTGAACTGAGATATATGTAATGTGAAATAGATAAGTTTGTAAATTCGATTTCAAATTATAAACAATATCGTATGATGAGTTCATGGCTACATGGTACTTGTTATATACATGTTATTAAACAATGGATTTTGTAGTGATATATTGGTGTTTATCTAATCGTAATGAGGATTGTTGTTTAACACATGTGAAATTTTCATAGTTGAAATCATGAGTCAATTGAAGCTAGATCACCATCGAAAACCTGGAAGCATTGGACGGTCGTTTCGTCCTATTATGGGACTCCTCAACACTGCACATTCACGATCCCGTACTCACGAGATTCGAATCCAGGGCCTACCAGTCTCGTGCTAGACCACTTAACCGGCCGTTCAGTGTTTCCAGGTTTTCCATGGTGGTCTAGCTTCAATTGACTCATGATTTCAAGTATGAAAATACTGAAAACTCCATAAAATCTTTTCTGACTCACATCTGAAATCGTTTATCAGTCGATGACCTGTATACTTTGATCAAGAAAACCGGATAAATAAATATTCATGTACAATAAAGTGATCAATTGAGCTAACTTCTTCAATTACAAATTAGGTAGACCAATGAGTAACTATAGTATAATAAGTGGATATCTTTGACCAAATGATTCATAAGAACACCTAGATTATCTCAACCGAACTCAAAGAAATAATAATAACTGAACACTATCCATGGTGGTTGAGCAAAAGACAATTGAAAGTGATTAATAATAATTTTATGGCAATAATCCTTATTAAACACTGTACACCCTTTATGTAAAACATTTGAATTCATAAAAGTGTTAAATAAATGTAATTGTCATATTTTTTTAGAGGGTGAAAAAAAATTTTCATGTCTACTGTTTATTTAATTTTAGTTTAGGGTTAGAAATTTATTCCAAACTATTCGTTCATATAAGCAAAGATGGACAGTGGATAGAAGTGAAATCTATGACTTGTGTTTCGTCCTGTTTCGGGCATGTCAGCTGAACGTAAGTGCATTCTGGAGTCAATGTTCACTCTGCTAATCTGGGATGCAGGCGAATTCAGCTGACGAGTCCGAAATAGAACGAAATGCACGTCCTGGATTCCACTACTAGCCACCATCCATTTTTGCTTATAATACCTGGTAGTATCGAGGCAATCCTCATAGGATACACATGTATCAATAAGAAGCTGATCAATTATAGTCCTAAGCATCAATGAGAAGATCCAAACAAACAATACTAAGTGAATTTGAATTATAATTCACCTCATTGAAAACTGTTTATCCCAAAAAATTACTTAAATCTTTAAGACGGTATGGTAAAAAACAATTCATTAAAATTCTACCATCTTAAATTCAACTTAAGATCATATTTGAATAGTCGTTCTATCTTTTTATGAATCGGTCCAATAAGTCTAATAGACATATTGTATAGTTAGTATATTAACCAAATATACCATTTATTTGATAAAACACTCTCACAAAAAGATGCTTAGATACAAAATATCAGTTTTCTTGAACAATCACCTTTATTTTAATGAAATTTTAGTTTGAAAATATGTAGAAATAACAGTTTATCACTTAGCCCCCCAATCTCCCTCGTACGGCCGAGACTGGAGAGAACCCGACCTCTCTAAAAATACCCTCACACAGCCACGCGTATACAGCCCCTGCCAGGAAAGTCTTACTCAATGCCTTCTCGTGGCATTACTGTTGTTTACGAAATTGAGAGAACGAAACGCAAATATCCGGCGCTTTAACTGGGTTGGTGGACACGGAAAGTCCACCTAAGGGAGTTGGAAAACACTCATTCCAAACCAATGGTGTACATGAGCTCCAGTATCCCGGGGGAACAAATGACGTATGAACCTATTGTTGGTCACTTTATACCACGAGACTGCACCTCCTCACGATGCTCCATTGCCTTGTGGATCAGATTTTTAGGTCAATGTCTCGGGGTGTGGTCCCCTAAGATAACCACATGTTTCGGTCTGGGCATGCAGGCAGTAGCATAGCCCTCACACAAATAAATGAAATGACCTTTTTTTGTTTGGCGCATATATATCTGGTGCCACTTTGTACAATATTTATGTGTTCAAATAAATAAATAAAATTATCACTTAATATTTTGATGAAAGACATGGTTATACATAACGGTAATAATCAAAACAAGTACAATTTTGCTACATAACATTTAAACTTAATTGAAATGAAAAAAAAACCTGAACATAAATTGTATTTTTATATGGTTGAAATAATGAGTTGAATGGAACTAGACCACCATGGAAAACCTGGAAGTATAGGATGGCCGTTTCGTCCTATTGTGGGACTCTTCAGCAGTGCTCATCCTCGATCCTACCTCATGAGATTCCAACCCAGGACCTATCAGTCTCGCGCTCAACCATTAGACCACTGCACCGGCATCCAACGGTGTTAATGTTTTACTTCAACTAATCCACGAAGTTAAGCAACCATTTCACCAATGTCTTCAGTGAGTTAATATCTCACAACAGACCTGGTTGAACTCCATTGGCTACTGTTTCTCACTAGAACTCTAGGAAATATCTTTTGAAATCAATCACTAGTGATCATATGATTATAATCAAATTGTATTTGTCATAATATCTACTTAAATATATTAACATGCAATTTTTACATAGTAACACAATGAATGTTTAAATACTTGCATGCATATCTTTTTGTTTCTCTGTATTTTGCCATTGACGATTACGTTGTAAAAATGCCTAGTTTCAATATACATACAGACATAGACAGACACATATATATATATGTATATTTTTGTAATGGAGTAACCGATAAAGAACAAATAAAGCCAATGATTATTATTATAGAGTATAAGTAATAGGGGGACAATTAGTTGACACAATTAGTTATATAATATCAACATAATTATACATAGATTACGTAATATATATGGATATACGTAGTTCATATGGATTAGACGTGCAATAACCAATTAACAATACAGGCATTAGAAAATAATTTAGATTTTACATTAATGTACATTGAGACATAAGTTAGTGATAGTGGTGTACGTGCAGTAAAATAATAAATAAAAAAAAATAGGGAATACAGAAAGAAAAGAAGAGGATACGTTTAAAATTGATCATTATAACATATAAATGATAAATAAAAGAATATTAAGAAGTATATAAATGTAATTGAAATCATGAGTCAATTGAAGTTAGACTATTATGAAAAACGTGGAAGTACTGGATGGCCATTTCGTTCTATTCTAGGACTTCTTTCCACAAAACCCCCCTTTTAATATATTTATATATATCACTGAGTCGGCATGAGACTCTCATGATTTCAACTACATAAAATTAATGAAATCTCCATAAAACCCCCTTCTGATAATAATAATAATACTTTTATAATGTAAAAGGAAAGTGTTCAACTACTTCTTTGAAGTTAAACAATGAAGTATGTTAATAATAAATACTAACTACATAATTACAATACTAGCTGATAGTGATTAATATCAGTAATGCCAACATGGAATGATGAAATAAATAGAAGAATAAATTTGTTTAAAATATTCTAAAACCCATTATGTAATAGAATAGAGAGAGGGGAGGGAGAGAGGGGGGAGGGAGGGGGGAGGGGAGAGAGAAAGGGGACAAGACAATTTGATTGTTACATCGTAATACTTATTGAATAAAACAATGTTACATCGATTTATGAACATGTAATTTCAAAAATACATCGGGTTAATGTCAATGCTTTCGTTTTACCAATTTAACTTACTACTTTTTATGGAAACTCGAATTGATTGTATTATTAGAGTTCATATAAAACAATCCTTAAAGATTATTGATAGTAGAGTATAGTTGTAGGTACTGTGAAAAAAGGAATTTTCTTTGAAGGTACTCGTTTAATGACAAGTTATGGATTTTACCAGTGAAAACTAATAATAATTATATCGGAAACGACTTGTTTAATTTTATCCATGTAAAAAGTAATTATACTTTTTGTTCATGTAGGATCAGTGAAATTTCACTGGGTCTTAGCCAAATCATTCTGCAGTTGGGTCAGTAAATGTTGAATAGTTCACCGATCACCGTTAATGTCAATGATAATCAACGTCTACTAGTTAACTGTATGCCATGGACTAGCCCATGCATTAGTGGTTACACTGTGCCTAGTGTGATTACTCTCACTAATATATTTCAGCAATAACGTCTTTTTTGCTTTACGATCATCAAAGCAGCCAAAGTACCTGGATACGACAAAAGAGTAGTCTATGTTACCTACTGACCGCTATGTGTGGCTTTGACGTTAATTGGTACGTCTCATCATTCCCGGTTAACTCGAGTAACTCACCAATCATTCGACAAAGATCATCTACGTCGGTTAATCAACATGTAGAATGACTGATTATTGATAAAGTATACAATCTTTACAAAGTAAGAAAGATGCGAATACAAGGGGGAATAGGAAAATCAGTGAGGAAATTTGTAAAAAAAACAAACTTACTCTATAATCTTTATCCTTCTGTGTCATTTCTCGTCTACGTCTACTTGCCTAAAATTTTTAAACGAAAACAGTCACATGAAAGTTTATTTGAATAACTGTCATCTATGTAAAACATTAAAAAACAATCTCCCATTGACGGGAATCAGCGCGTCCATATACCAAACAGGACACGCATTCACACGTTATAACACTTAATCTTTTAAATAATTTGAATAAAAAATAAATTTTCAAATAAGCCAAAATGGACAGCGGATAGCAGTGGAATCCCGGACGCGCAATTCGTCCTATTTGGAACTCGTCAGCTATCAGAACTCAGTAAATGAGTGGATAACGCGATGTCGTTTGAAACCAAAGGTTTGAGTCTCAGAAGGAACATCAACTCTGAGATGCAGGTACATCCAACTGACGAGTCCCAAATAGTACGAAACGTGCGTCAAACTGGATTCCATTGCTAGCCACTATTCAACTTTGCTTATAACGTTTTGGTACATGTTCATACACCCTGATTTTCAAATCATTATTGCCCCCACCCCTCTATGTAAGAAAGCTGTTTAAACTAAGTTGAACATGATTATTACATTTCTATATAATGAAATAATAAATAATGACTTAGTAACTAATTATTACAGATGTTTTCTAAACAACACTTATACACTTAAATTATATACAACTATAGATGGTTTCTTTCTTAACTAATTAAAATACAATTAAATTATATATCCCAGTACATGTCTTTGTCTTTTAATTATGCCAGACAAACATATGGCACTTATTCCATATTGTCTTATCGTTATCTTCAATTATATACATTTGTGCATTTTTACAAGTCTTATTCATATCATCATGATAAATAAACAGTCAATACATAATGACACAAGGCTATATGTAATATTTATTGTTCTGATAGTTTTATTGCATTGTGATGGTTTAGCTTCGTTAATCTGTCTACCTCACTTACTTACGCCTATTACTCCTCGTCGAGGAGTATAGGTATCCCACCAGCATTCTCCATCCAACTCTGTCTTGAGCCTTCATTTCCAGTTCTTTCCAAGTTAACATTCATCCTTTTCATATCTGTTTTTATTTCCCAAAGTAATATGTTGTTTGGCCTACCTCTTTTCCGCTTCCCTTCACCATTCTAAGTAAGGGATTGCCTCGTGATGCAGTTTGGTGATTTCTTCAATGTATGTCCGATACACTTCTAACATCTTTTCCTAATTTCCTCTTCAGATGGAAGCTGGTTTGTCCTCTCTCATAAAACGCTGTTGCTGATGGTATCCGGCCAATGGATGTTGAGTATTTTGCGTAGAGAATTGTTTATAAATACTTGTATCTTCTTGACGATGGATGTAGTAGTTCTCCACATTTCATCTTTGTACAGTAGGACTGTTTGTCTTGACGTTCGTATTGAAGATCCTCACTTTTAATTTACTTGACAGTTGTTATGATTTCCATATATTCTTCAACTTTAGAATCTATCTACCTTGAGTAACCGTTATTATATGAATCTTAACGGTGTTTGAAATCATAAAGCAATAAGAAGCGGTGACTACAATTTATTAGCGGATAGCACAGACAAAAAAGTGAATAAGAACATCGAGAAGATTTGAAGCAGAGAGACGAATGTTTGTATGCGAACGACTACAGAGGCAAATTTATAGTCAAATCGAACAAGGCTCAGCTAGGCTAGGTAAAGGCTAATAATAGGATTTCAGTACATATATACATGGTGGGGGAAGTGAATGAATCATAGAGCGATTAGTATTTAGGCTAGAAGTGTGTACGTAGGCTGTCATATCTGATCAAGAGTGCACGTTTATACAGACATGATAGTAACCAGAATAGTATAAAGAAATAGACGAAGTATTACTGTCCAAATAACATTGTCTGTTAAATAAGTTAATAAAAAGGGCTTGACAAAAGTTAACCTTAATCGGAATTAACCGTAGGCATGTTGCTATGGTAGCACCATTTTTACGGAGTTTTGTTGATTATCAAAATTTATTGCATAAGTGTCATTTTTAGTTAGACGGTAGTTTTCTTTCAAATATCAATGTAACTACGACAATTGAACATCTGTTTATACAATACAATGAAATGTTGAAAGCGTGAGTCAATTGAATCTAGACCACCATGGAAAACCTGGAAGCACTGGACGGCCGTTTCGTTCTATTATTACGGACGTCCAGTGCTTCCAGGTTTTCCACAGTGGTCTAGCTTCAATTGACTCATGCTTTCAGCTATGAAAATACTGAATCTCCACAAAACCCCTTCTGACAATGAAATGTGTTTCACTCCATCTCTAGGATCATGATTATATCAATTAAACGATAGTATTTTAGTCTTTTATTTTGAGCAAGTGTAGCACTTATTGATCCTAAGAAAGTGTTCTATCTAGTAATTACTTTTTATAGAACATTATCATTGGATGCACGACAAGATAGTATGAAGAGTTGAATCCATGATTATTGTCTAGGTTCTTTGATATTTTACATCGAAGTAAATAAGTCTTCAATGAGACCTTGATCGGTTGTATTAGATGTCAGGCACATACATGTACATGTAACCTTTAAGTTATTTTGTAGTGAATGGGAACACAACTTGGGATAATCAAATATACATCAATACAACATTACAGAGTGTAAGGACGGCTCGTTGGTAAACTCTAGGAAGCCTCAAGAAGCTCAGAAGGAACCGAAGACATTCCATCCAATCACCGCTAGGGGAATATTCTAGAATGTTGACGTGTAGCTCCCCCATTGGATGGACAAGAATGACCCCTATGTGCCTGTTGGTTGACCGAAATGATGATTTACTCTCAGTCAAAAACTATAAATACATGAGATTTTTGTACTATATTTTGACACTATTTTGGGGAATAAACTTCCTACTTACTAGTCTTCTGTCTTCTCTGTTGCGACGTTGCGGGTTCGTTCGTTCAAGTAGTCTAGTAGTACGCGGCGTAGCAAGAATTAAAAGCTCTAGATATAACACATAGTTAATTGCTAAAATGTGAATATCATACGTTCACTACTTCATTTACAAAAGAGCTATCAATGGTTTCAAACTTCATTGTTCCTTTATTTCTGTAAAAAATCACTCTCTGTTCCCGTTCTCCTCGATTCGATCGTCCTAATCTTTTGCTCCCAGACGTTCCATTTCTGACTGATTTTATATACTACTTACATCGACATTGTTTTATGGCAGAGGACAAACAAGCTTCCATCTGATAACGAAATTAGTAAAAGATGTTAGAAGTGTATCGGACATACATTGAAGAAATCACCAAACTGCATCACGAGGCAATCCCTTACTTAGAATGGTGAAGGGAAGCGGAAAAGAGGTAGGCCAAACAACATATTACTTTGGCAAATAGAAGCAGATATGAAAAGAATGAATAACAACTGGAAAGAACTGGAAATGAAAGCTCAAGACAGAGTTGGATGGAGAATGCTGGTTAGCAGCCTATGCTACTCCGCGAGGGGTAACAGGCGTAATTAAGTATATCGACTTAAGTAGCATACACCAAAACATAATACCGGCAACTTCACAGTGATTAAACAAAATTTAAATCAAATCATATTACAATGACTTCTTAAAAAAAATTACAAATTACCCCCCCCCCAAAAAAAATAACTTACATCGAAATAAAGCCAAAATATAAAAATTGCATGTGCCAATATATAAATTGTAACAAATGATATGAATACATGTTTTTCTATTTGTTGTACCATTTTCCAATCAGAACATGCCATACGATTAGTACGACTACATCCATTGCTTTGTTCTTTTAATAATGAATTAAATGTTTGATTAACAGTTGTTGTTGTCACTAATGGTGTTCGTGTTAATGTTTTTGATAATAGTGTAAGGGAATCATTCTGTAACAGATTATTGTACATAGACAATGGGGGTAATGATGAGAGATTATGCAATGAAGATAATACATCTGAAGTATTTATTTGTCCTGGCATTTGAGATGTATTTAAAAACTCTAAAATAAAATCAATACAACATAATGAACTATTTAGATTATATTATGTACTTGCAAAACATTGTTAAGTTGTTTGAAAATCTCATGATGATGGTTAAAGTTATATAAGTAAGTGCCCTTCTCTAGGTCGGTTACTGTCATTCTACAAAGTAACCAATGCAAGTCAACTATAAACTATACCCAATCGATTCACGTAGTTCCCTTTTTTGATTTGAATAAAGCAACCAAAAAGGTTTTATAGTTGCAAGCGTTAGTCAAGTGAAGCTAGACCACCAAGGAAAACCTGGGAGAACTGGACGGCCGTTTCTTCTTATTGTGGGACTCTTTAGCAGTGTGCATCCACAACCTCGCCTCGCGAGATTCGAACCCAGGACCTGCCGGTCTCGCGCCAGAGCACTTAACCTACAATAGGACGAAGCGACCATTCAGTGCTTCCAGGTTTTCCTTGGTGGTCTAGCTTCAATTGACTCACGCTTGCAACTATGAAAATACTAAATATCCACAAAACCTCTTCTGATAGTAAAAAGGTTTTACTTGAGTATATGATATGATATCAATTGTTGATACACACGGATTCCTTGCTCCAAACCCCATTCAGAACACAGGAGTAAGATAGTCTATGTAAACTCCATGTTATCTGACTCATAATTTCACATGGTTGTATACATGAAGTACAGAACGACAGTGCACTGTAAGTAAGAATTTACAATATGTGGCTAACTGGCATATTTACAGTACAAATTCTGAATAACCGGTTCATAATAAATTTACAATAACTCCGTGTGTAGCTCCTCCGGGGGTTACTGCCGGTCCCAAGCCCGGGTAAAGGAGGAGGGTTGGGCATGGGGTTAGAGACCCCATCCCGTAGAAAATCAACTCGCTTAAAAAACGCTAACCAGAAAAAATCATTCAAACCTTTCAAACTCTGCCCTGGGAGTAGAAGGAAAAATTATGAAGTCCCATGATGAAAGCCGAGTTCATTCGGAAGTCATGATGCAGATGCACCTTCTTACAACCAGAGCGACAATTTTTATAGGTACATGGAATGTCCGGACAATGTGAGAGACCGGAAGAATCTTCCAAATTGCTGCAGAAATGAGAAAATACAACCTGGAAGTGCTTGGAATCAGCGAAACACATTGGACGCAGGTTGGACAACAACGATTGTCTTCAGGAGAACTTCTGTTATACTCCGGTTATGAAGAAGAAAATGCCCCACATACACAAGGAGTGGCACTGATGCTGTTCAGAAAAGCACAAAATGCACTTATTGGATGGGAATCTCATGGACCAAGGATCATCAAAGCCTCCTTCAAAACAAAGAGAGAGGGCATTACAATGAACGTCATTCAATGCTATGCGCCTACCAACGACTACGATGAAGACGCTAAAGACCAATTCTACGAAAGGCTGCAGTCGATCTTCGAGAAGTGCCCAACCAAGGACCTGACAATTCTAATGGGAGATTTCAATGCCAAGGTTGGAAAGGACAACACTGGATACGAAGACGTCATGGGACGACATGGACTGGGAGAAAGGAACGAAAATGGTGAGAAATTTGCAAACCTATGTGCCTTCAATAAACTGGTCATAGGTGGCACCATATTCCCACACAAAAACATACACAAAGCCACTTGGATTTCACCGGATCACATTACACAGAATCAAATCGACCATGTCTGCATCAACAAAAAGTTCAGGAGGACGATGGAGGATGTGAGAACCAGAAGAGGAGCTGATATAGCATCCGATCATCATTTTCTGGTCGCCAAGATGAAACTAAAACTCAAGAAGCACTGGACAACGGCGCGGATAATATCACAAAAGTTTAACACGGCGTTTCTTCGAGATGCTGACAAACTCAACAAATTCAACATAGCCCTCAGCAACAGGTTCCAGGTCTTTCATGATCTACTCAATGGAGAGGGGACTACCATGAAGAGCAACTGGAAAGGTATCAAGGAGGCAATCGTTTCAACATGTCAGGAGGTTCTGGGCCAACAGAAGCACCATCACAAGGAATGGATCACTGTTGGTACACTGGATAAAATTGAAGAAAGAAGGAACAAGAAGGCAGCAATCAATATCAGCCGAACAAGAGCAGAAAAAGCCAAGGCACAAGCCGAATACACAGAGACAAACAAGCAAGTGAAGAGGAGCATCAGAACCGACAAACGTAAATATGTGGAAGATTTAGCGATGACAGCGGAAAAGGCTGCAAGAGAGGGAAACATGAGACAACTGTATGATACAACAAAGAAACTTGCTGGAAATTACCGTCAACCAGAAAGACCAGTGAAAAACAAGGAAGGCAAAGTAATCAACGATATTGAAGAACAACGAAACAGGTGGGTAGAACACTTCAAAGAACTCTTGAATCGACCAGCTCCACTGAACCCACCCAACATCGAAGCAGCACCCACAGACCTCCCAATCGATATTGGCCCACCAACAATTGAAGAGATCAGCATGGCCATTAGACAAATCAAGAGTGGCAAAGCAGCGGGACCAGACAACATCCCGGCAGAGGCACTGAAAGCGAATGTAACAGCAACTGCCAAGATACTCCACATCCTCTTCGGTAAGATTTGGGACGAAGAACATGTACCAACAGACTGGAAAGAAGGACTTCTCATCAAGATACCAAAGAAAGGCGATCTGAGCAAGTGCGACAACTACAGAGGCATCACTCTCCTCTCAATACCAGGAAAAGTCTTCAACCGAGTATTGTTAAACAGGATGAAGGATTCCGTGGACGCCCAACTTCGAGATCAACAAGCTGGATTTCGTAAGGATAGATCGTGCACAGATCAAATCACAACTCTGCGGATCATTGTGGAACAATCAATTGAATGGAATTCATCACTCTACATCAACTTCATCGACTACGAGAAGGCATTTGATAGCGTGGACAGGACGACACTATGGAGGCTTCTTCGACACTACGGTGTGCCTGAGAAGATAGTCAATATCATACGGAACTCCTACGATGAACTAAACTGCCAAATCGTCCACGGAGGACAACTCACTGACTCATTTGAAGTAAAGACTGGTGTAAGACAAGGTTGCTTAATCTCACCGTTTCTCTTTCTCCTGGTGATCGACTGGATCATGAAGACGTCAACATCTAGAGGAAATCACGGAATATAGTGGACAGGCAGGATGCAGCTTGACGATGTAGACTTCGCATATGATCTGGCTCTTCTATCACAAACGCAACAACAAATGTAGGAGAAAACACCCAGTGTAGCAGCAGCCTCAGCAGCAGTAGGTCTCAATATAAACAAAGGGAAAAGCAAGACTCTCCGATACAATACAATATGCACCAATCAAATTACACTTGACGGAGAAGCTTTGGAGGATGTGGAAACCTTTACATATCTGGGCAGCATCATTGATGAACACGGTGGATCAGATGCAGATGTGAGGGCGAGGATCGGCAAAGCAAGAGCAGCATACTTACAACTGAAAAACATCTGCAACTCAAAACAATTGCCAACAAACACCAAGGTTAGAATTTTTAATACAAATGTCAAGACAGTTCTACTGTATGGGGCGGAGACGTGGAGAAATACGAAAGCCATTATGCACAAGATACAAGTGTTTATTAACAGTTGTCTACGCATAATACTTCGGATCAGATGGCCAGACACTATCAGCAACAAGTTACTGTGAGAGACAACAAACCAGATTCCAGTGGAGGAAGAAATCAGGAGGAAGCGCTGGAAGTGGATTGGGCACACTTTGAGGAAATCAGCTAATTGTGTCACAAGACAAGCCCTCACATGGAATCCTGAAGGTCAAAGGAGAAGAGGAAGACCAAAGAATACATTACGCCGAGAAATAGAGACAGACATGAGAAGAATGAACAAAAACTGGATAGAACTAGAAAGTCAGGCGGAGGACAGAGTGGGTTGGAGAATGGTGTTCGGCGGCCTATGCTCCATTGGGAGTAACAGGTGTAAGTAAGTAATCACGATGGATCGAAGATTTTATTTAACATTAATCATATTCAGAAAGCAGTGTTCTAAATACATATCAACTTCGTTTTTACATCAATCATTCACTGTTCTTGTTCTCTTTCCTTCGATCTTTTTAACTTTCTACCATCAGATATTTCACTCTTTATTCATGATACATACTACTTATATCTGTTAACATCAGTCATACACACCATCGAATCTTTAGTAAATTTACGAAAACTTAATTATTTGTCACTCATCTCGTGACCCTGTGTTACAGAATTATCTTGGATAAAGACCAATATTTTTATTTTGTCTGACTAAAGACATGTTGAAATGTGTTTATGCAATCTAATGTATATTCTTCTTTCTATTCTATCGCATTAATTAATTTGTCCAAAACATGAACATATATATGCATTTAAAGGTGACATTAAAGAGGTGCCTAATGATGTTTGACTTCATTAGAGGACAATCTGTTTGTATAATATGGTCATTTCGGCTGTAAGCTCTTTTATTGATTTATGTAATTTACAAACTATCGTTGATCGTTTCTATAATATTGTCGTCTTAAAATCGAATAAACTAGGTATTTTGTCTGCTGCATTTTCCTTTTAATTCTTAAAGTCGAATGTCTTAGCATTTATCAATGCATTTTAATGGATATTGATTAGTGCTACTTTGTAGACAATTGAATATGTTCAAATTTAGATGTGCTCTATCCATGTTTCTTTTCTATCAGATTAATATTGAAGTGTATCATGGCTCCTTTGTTACATTGAAATAACAAAATTATAGTAAACATCATTACATATCATTTATTTACCATGTTAAAAGGCTCCAGAATGTGCTTGTATGCCATTAACAATGTATTATAGAGCATGTAAACGACATTTTCATCAATGACGATCATAAAACGTGATATCAAATATACTTTGAAAGTATTCAACTGATCACATTTACTCTTCAGATGGAAAAACAAAACTAACTATCCCATCCGGATACTGATAATAGTAGTATAAAACAAACATATGCAAATTTTCTATATCTTGGTTTGGAAATTTATTTTAACATTCAATATGCAATTGTGATTGATTTACAGTAGTCCTGGATTCCATCTCAATTATGATTGATTATTGTTGATGAACCATCCAAGATCGAGGTCTACAGGACGAGCTGTTAGCTATTTGTGGAGAAATTCGAACACTTCACTTCTACCTAAAGTTTATACAGATGATATCGTTCAGAATAATGATGAAAGCTACACGATCTCTTGATGTAATTACAATAAAGAATGTATTTATAAATGAAATATAGAACCATATTGTTCTATTGTAGTGTGCACTATAGTTGTAGTATGTATCATGAATCGAAAAAGTGAAATGACTAGTGGAAAATGGTTGAGAATATTGAAAAAAAAGAGAACGAAGATGGAGAGTGGATGGTGTGAGAACGAAATAACTATCAAGTTTGATATAAGTGATTGACATTTTGCAAATGGAGAATTTATTGTATAGTTCTTAGATTTCTTTAAGTAATTTTGTAATTTTGTATTCAAATACATTTGGTTGTTTTCATTGGTGTACTCATTCACTACACTATCACTATATTTTCATGAATTGTGCATATCTGAACCAGTATAGTAGCCTTAGAATGAGATAGATATCAACAATGGAGCTATAGATTTATGTAGGTATCAATATAAAGGTTGAATTCGATAGTTTCAAATAAATTAAGCATTGAATCGTGGATCAGTTTTTTGCAGAGGTTAACTGTACGCTTACTAGACCGAAATTTATGGGTTCAATCCCTATGTTACAAGATTGTTAGGAAGCACCACTTAAGATTCCCGTACTAGAACGAAACAGCTGCCCAGTTCTTCCAAGCTTTCAATGATTGTCCTAATTAGATAGGTTTGTGATCACAATAAAATATAAATTATTCTTTAGTTTTCCAGCTGAAGAGGAAATTAGGAAAAGACGTTGGAAATGTATCGGACATACATTCAGGAAATCACCAAACTTCATCATGAGGCAAACCTTAACTTGGAATGGTGAAGGGAAGCGGAAATGAGGAAGGCCAAACAACACATTACGACGGGAAATAGAAGCAGATATGAAAAGAATGAATAACAACTGGAAAGAACTGGAAAGAAGGCTCAGGACAGAGGTGGATGGAGAATGCTGGTGAGCGGCCTATACTCCTCGACGAGGGGTAACATGCTTATGTAAGTAGTAAGTAATTATTCAGTTTATTCGCTTACTTATTCTTAAATTGATATCACTCTATGTTGGTGTACAACAATAATTTAATAACATAATCCTACCTTTTATTCCCTACTGATAATCTATCATAGAAATAACAATAACCAAATATATAAGTATACATTGTTCTTACTATAATTTGATTCATTCATTTGTGAATTATGATGAGATGGATTAAGAGTAGATTGTATTGATTCTGATTTATTATAATTAGGAAAATATAATCTAGAATCTTGATTGGTTGTATTTACATTTAAATTCGATGAAATACTAGCAGATGTAGCAGTTGTAGTTGTAGTATTACTACCAGGCAAAGATGATCCAAATCCAGGAGAATCAGGTAAATCAAAATCTAAACCAATCAATGTAACAACTGCATGCCATATACTGATTATACACAGAATGAATAATGACATTAAAACATATTTATCCTGAAAGTAAAAGGAATTGAATACAAAAAAAGAGATAGATTATATCTTTTTATAGCAAATATTGAATGAGCATATTGATTTCGTTACTTACTTACTTACGCCTGATACCCCTCGTCAAGGAGCATGGGCCGCTCACCAGAATTCTCCATCCAACTCTGTCCTGAGCCTTCCATTCTGGTTGTTTTTCTTCTTTTTCATATCTGCTTCTATTTCCTAAAGTAAGGTGTTCTTTGGCCTTCCTGTTTTCCGCTTCCCTTCACCATTTCAAGTAAGACATTGCCCCGTGATGCAGTTTGGTGATTTCTTCAATGTATGTCCGATACACTTCTAACGTCTTTTACTAATTTCCTCTTCAGATGGAAGCTGGTTTGTCCTCTCCTATAAAACGCTGTTGCTGATAGTATCCGGCCAATGGATGTTGAGTATTTTGCGTAGACAACTGTTTATTAATACTTGTACCTTCCTGATGATGGATCTAGTAGTTTTCCATGTTTCAGCTCAGTACAGTACAACTGACTGACTTGACGTTCGTATTGAAGATTCTCACTTTGAAATTAGTTGACATTTGTTTTGACTTCCATATGTTCTTCAATTGTAGAAATGTGGTCCTTGCTTTGCCAATCCTCACCTTTACATATGCAACATCTCAGGGAAAGCACAGAATACAATGGACGGTTTGCATGTTGCTAGAATATTTGAACTTTGTAGATGATCTAGCTTTTCTATTCAGATCATACCAATAAATCTAGGCGAAGACAGTCAGTGTAGTAGAATGCTGTGCAGCAGTAAGCCTCAACATACACAAAGGAAAAAGCAAGATCCTTAAATACAACGTAGAGAACACCAACCAAATCATACTTGACGAAGATGCTCTGAAAGGTGTGGAATCATTCACTTATCTGTGTAGCATCATCAATGAACGTGGAGGATCTGATGCAGACGTAGAGGCGAGGATCGGCAAAGTAATAGCCGCATACCTACAGTGAAAGAACATATAAAGCTCAAAACAACTATCAACCAATATCAAAGTCACAATCCTCAATACGAACGTCAAGACAGTCAGTTGTACTGTACGGAGCTGAAACTTGGAGAACTACTGCAACCATCATCAAAAAGGTACAAGTATTTATAAAACGGTTGTCTACTCAAGATAATCAATGACCGTTGACCGGGAACAATCAGCGACAGCCTACTGTGAAAGAGAACAAACCAACTTCCATCTGAAAAGGAAATTAGGAAAAGACTTTGGAAGTGGATGGGACACACATTGACAAAGTCATCAAACTGCATAACGAAGCAAGCCCTAACCTGGAATTGTGAAGGGAAAATGAAAATAGGAAGATCTTGCTTCGGGAATTGGAAGCAGACATGAAAGGGTTGGATAGCAACTGGAAAAAAACTGGAAAGAATTGCCCAGGACAGAGTTTAATGGAGAATGATAGTAGGCGGCCTATGTTCCTTCACGAAGGATAACAGGTATAAGTAATTATGTAAGTAGGTATTGTTCATGGGAAAGTTCTTACCTTGTGTCCCGTTAAAAGTCTCAAGAATTTGAGGAAACCGTGAAAATAATCCATCTGATCAATATACAATGGACATTTTCTAGAGAATTCTATGACATGATGGGTAGTGTTTCATACACTGATTGGATACTAATATCTGCATGTTTTCATAAGCTTCTAGAACATCTAGGGTACATACAGATCTATAAATATTCATGTCCTGTTTACCTATTTTGTATACGCTGCTCCCCATGTTTTCAGATGGCGAATCAACTGTGGGAGATTTCTGAAGTACTGGAAATCGGTTTAAGTATCGAACTCACGAAATTCCTCAAATAATTTGAAACTATGGTATTACACGGATAAAGCTCTATTTAGAACAGTGATCCAAATATTCTGATAAAGTTACATGACTTATACACTGGGAAAAATATTCCGCATATTGTCTACTTTAGTGTAAATATTTTTCAATCGTCATCCGAATTTGATTCACTATTTATTAATAACGAAAAGCCTTTTCCGTTCAATCTGTTATATGAGACCTCTTATAATCTGTTTTAGCTAGAAAGTTCGAAGATTTAAAATCATTCCAAATAAAAGATACTCTATGAAACCTCATTCCAATAATAATCACCACGTGCTCACTAGTGATTGTCTTCAAGATGGATTTCTTGAAGCTCTAGCGAGAAGCCGTGAATGGTGGAGTCCGTCCCGTGTTGGGTGGAGACAGTTATCCATCTCAGGGAATAGATGAATGATTGTGCAAGATCATGGATTAATTCAATTGAAACATTAACACCGTTGGTTAGGTTAGGCGTCCGCGATCAAGACTGAAGGTCCCGAGTTCGAGTCCGCCAAGGAGCATCAGTTCCCTCAAGATTACAGGTACACCTTGCTGACGAGTGCCAAGTAGCACGAAATCCGGGTCCAGGGTTTACAGTTGACCACCTCCAACCACCATGTAATTTTAATATATATAGTGCACACAATGTCGAGCCACCTATACTGGTGGCCACATTGCAACTTGATCGATAGCATTTGATCAGCACTAAGAAGGACTTGACACGCATGACAGTGATCACCACCCAATGATCAATCAATTGGGAGTTTAAATTCATTTAGCATTGTTTGTTTAAATCTTCCATCGATGTGTTAGGACTGAAACCGGTCAGTCTCTAATTGGCACATGTGCATACTGTGCGTATTGTTAATTAGAGACTGACCCGTTGCAGTCCTAACACATCGATGGGAAGATTCAAACAAACAATGCTAAATGAATTTAAACTTCACCCCATCGCACAAGCAAGTGGCTATCAGGACTCAGTGACCTAGTGGATATCGCGATGGCGTTTGAAGCGAGGGTACTGTGTTCGAGTCCCAGAGTGAACATCAACTCTGAGATGCAGGCACATCCGTCTGACGAGTCCCAAATAAGACGAAAAACGGGTCCTTGATTCCACTGCTAGTCACTATCCATCTTAGCTTACAATGAGTTTAGAGTTGTTCTTCTTCACATAATTGACTATTCTATGAGATGTATAAAACTAAAATCCAATACAGAAGTCAATAATACCATAAGAAAATGATATGTTAATTACCATTTGTTTTTTATAGACAACAATCTCATTAAGAGAAAGTAAGTTCAGTAAAAGTACAAAATGAAAATATTTTGCTTCATTCATTATCGTAGAGAAAGTATTTCGACCGTGTATTTACCAAAACATAGAATCATATGTAAAAACATTATATATCAGAGATACTATGAAAACAAGTGGTCATCGTTGGGTATATAAGATCTAAACCATAATATAATTACGTCATAGATGTTCAGATGAAATAAACAGTTCAATAGCGCCTTTAACAGTACAACATAATATGTCAAGAATAAAAGACGTCAAATTTACTTCGATTTGTCTAACTTCTTTCTTATAAAGACATTTAATCAATTACTGTTGCGGACTACACCACAACGAAACATCCGTACAGTATTCTATAGCTTTCAATGATATTTTGATGTTGGTTACTGATATCCACATAAGTAGTATATGGTGATGATCGAGCATTGAATGTATTTCAGTAAAAGATCAATATGAAGAGAACGGGAACGGCACACAATCGGTACGAAAATGCATGAACAAATATAATCGGAAACTATGGACGGATATTTGCAGAAGAAATAGTCAAATTGAGACAATTGATTGTTGTAGGAAACCCTGTACCCGGGTTTCCTGTTGACCACCTCCAACCACCATCTTACCTCGATATATATAGTGCACACAGTGTCGAGCCACCTATACTGGTGGCCACATTGCAACTTCATCGATAGCATTTGATCAGCACTAAGAAGGACTTGACACGCATGACATTAATCACCACCCAGTGATCAATCAATTGTGACAATTTATTTTTATTTTGCAAATTGACTGTTCACTATATATGCACAAGCAAGTGGCCATCAGGACTCAGTAACTGAGTGGATAACGTGATGGCGTTTGAAGTCAAAGGTACTGAGTTCGAGTCTCAGAGTGAACATCAGCATCCATCTGACGGCTCTCAAATAAGACGAAACGCGCCTCCTTGATTCCACTGCCAGCCACTATTCATGTTTGCTTACAATGTTCACTATATGGTTCTCATATTTTAACGAGATATTCTATAATGTTGTACTAAAACATATTCGATTGTCCCCACTCGTACTCTGTTCACTACAGTATCTATGCTGATTTCATATTATAATATAAATGATCAATCAAAATCTTAAATCAATATATATCCAATTTTTTCTTTCTTATTTAACCCAAACATGTTTTAAATGGTCAATGAGAGATGTAAAAGTCAGATAAGGATAAGATTCTAATTTCGTTCACTTTCTCTCTCTCTCTCCCTCCCTCTTTGTGAAACAACAAATGTAATAGTTGTCACTATGGGAGAAATTTTTGAAAAAAAAATTTGACTTTTATACCTTCGGAATTTTATTTTTATTTCAAAAGTGATAGAAAAAAACCATTTTTCTATTTTTAGTTTTTTTTACTGTTCAAACAGCGTTTCTTTATTCTTTATATAGTTATGAACATGAGTTAATTGAAGCTAGACATTAACGCCGTTGAATGCCGACCGGTTTAAATGTCCAGAGATTAAGTGCTCGAGCGTTAGACTGATAACTCCTGGGTTCGAATCTCTTGAGGCAAGATCGTGTATGCGCACTACTGAGGAGTCCCACAATAGAACGAAATGGCAGTCCAGTGCTTCCAGGTTTTTCATGGTGGTCTAACTTCAATTGATTCATGATTTCAACTATATAAAATTACTAAAATCTCTACAAAACCCTCTTCTGATAACAAACGACGTTTCAACTGAAAGCAATTTTTTGGATTGTGTTTCCATGCGTAAGTCTCTCTCTATGTGTGTGTGTGTTAACGAGCTGTTGAACCCAAAAAATTGTTCACCCTGTCATTAAACTAGCGAATAATTTTCAATGAAACGCTGCGAGTTAAAGTTAATTTCAATGAATTATTAATAAATATATCGTAATTCAAGCTCAACTTTAGCAGATTCAAATGAAGTATATAGTGGAATGTTAGTTTAAAGATATACCAAGTAAATTCTATAAACTAAGATGGGTAGTAGCTAGCAGTAGACCTGTCATCTGGATGTGTTAGCATTTCAGATTTAATGTTCATTCCGGAACTCGAACTCATTACCGTACTGTTTTATTAAAAATTTATGATTCATTGAATCAAACGGAACAACTACGATGTTTATAATCTCGACTGACTATAAGAAAGACTCTTTATCATGTAAATCTATAAAAAGGAAAATTAACTAATAAATCAGTACAAAGCACAAGTTACTTACCATATAAGTTAAATATGAAATTTTTGGTAAACTTTGTGTAATCACATATTTAAATGTGACACTAGTTAGAATTAATGTAAATGATAAACGTAAACGAAGTTCTGCTTTATCCGGTGAAACAGCAAATGTAGCAAAAGCTAAACCAGAAATCATGAACTGAACAAAAGAAAGAATAAATTACATTTAAATTATTGTAGTTGAAATCATGAGTCAATTAAAGCTAGACTACCATGGAAAAATTGAAAGCACTAGGTGGTCGTTTCGTATTAGTGTGGGACTCCTCACATGTGAGCATCCATGATCCCCCCTCGCGAGTTTCAAACCCAAGACCTATCAGTCACAAGCGCGGACGCTTAACCTCTAGACCACTTAGCCGGCATCAAACGGTTTCAATGTCTAACTTCAACCAATCCACGAAATTGAGCGACACATACACCATTTTCTTTAATGAGTTACTATTTGACAACAAACCCGGTTGAACTCGACTGGTCACTGCTGAGGAGCCCCACAATTAGGACGAAACGGCCGTCCAGTGCTTTCAGGTTTTCCATGGTGATCTAGCTTCAATTGACTCATGATCTCAACTATTAAAACAATGAAATGTTAAAAATATAAATTACTGGTCCTAATGTTCATTTTAATTTTTGTTTTGTATTGTCTAGTTATGAGTTCTCTTAGAACTCAGGAATCGCTCTCTTATAAAGTCACACATAAGCTATACTGGTAGGTTTAAAAATAAAACATAAAAGTTAGCCAGTATTTTTGTAGTTTTTAGATCCTCACCACTTGATATCAGTTTTCAAAGTTAATGGAACTCTATAAATCACTTAACAAAGCAATAATATAATGTAATTTGCTTTATAAACATAGTTTACATTGGTGGATAGTGGCTAGAAGTGGAATCCAATTTGATGCGCGTTTCGCCCTATTTGGGACTCGTCAGATGGATGCACCTGCATCTCAGAGTTGATGTTCACTTTGAGATTCGAACCCAGTACCCTCGCTTCAAACGCCATCGCGTTATCCACTCGGCCACTGAGTCGTGACAGCAACTTTCTTGTGCGATGGGGTGAAATTTAAATTAAGACTATATCGAGGCAATACGCACAATATGTACATATGCCAACTAGAGACTGACCCGTTGCAGTCCTAACACATCGACGGGAAGATTCAAACAAACAATACCAAGTGAATTTAAACTTCACCCCATCGCACAAGCAAGTGGCTATCAGGACTCAGTGACCTAGTGGATAACGCGATGGCGTTTGAAGCGAGGGTACTGTGTTCGAGTCTCAAAGTGAACATCAACTCTGAGATGCAGGTGCATCCATCTGACGAGTCCCAAATAGGACGAAACGCGCGTCCTGGATTCCACTGCTAGCCACTATTTATCTCTGTTTACCATGCTTGTGAATTAAGGCTACATCGAGGCAATACGCACAATATGCACATATGTCAATTAGAGACTGACCAGTTGCAGTCTTAACGGATCGATTGGAAGATTCAAACAAACAATGCTAAGTGAATAGTTTACATTCTTTATTTATACTTTTACTTCAAAGTTTTATTGCTCTGATTGTTTGTAGAGATATTGAACGTCGAAATGAATGAAACAGGATTCCAGAATTACACTGATAACGACAATGTAACTTTACTAAAAGCTTGTAACTGAAAAGCACTATCGTTCAAGATGCAGTTGTACATGAAAAGTGACTGATCAAAATTCGATTACTAATATTGACATACTTAATGAACAATTCAGTGGACATTTAGACTCAGTAGACAAGTTGAGAGTCTGTTAAATGGATAGGTATTGCATTGAAGTCCCAAAATGAACATTAACACACCGATGTAAATAAATCTACTTGACAAGTACTTAATAGAATGAGACAAGTGTTCTCGATTCCACAATCCAAATATATTGAAGAGGTTAGTGTAAATATTTCTTTCTGAATACACCTACAGTTTTGTTCCTTCTACTGAAACTCAAATATGTTTCCTTGAAGGTTAATAGCTATCAGTTCATAAATCATTACCTGATCTTTATTTTATTATCTGATCTAATGGTAGTAACAAAAGATAATAGTTAAGATGAACCGTTATTCAATTAGCAATTTTCAAGTACCTCTTCAGAATACATGGCAATTTGAATCGAGTTTAATCTTAATCAATCCACAATATCACGTGGCTATCTTCCATTGTCTTCGGTGGATAACTGTCTCCTTATATCCAGTTCAAATATTTTTCGACTTCCACAAGTATTATGATTTGAAAAATTTGTTTCTGCCTCTCTACTGAATAATCTTTTATCCGACTCATTAAAACAACCCAGCTGTTTCCTTCACATTCTGGTTCAATTAAAATGGGATCATTAATGATTACTGAAGTATTAATTAGTGTTATGTCCTCATGTGTTATCTCAAAATAAGTTAATGAGAAACATTCAAGGAATTCGACTAAGTAAAACCTTAAAATTTTATAATACCTAAACTATATGGTCACATAGATTTCAATCGCCACTGTATCTCATCATAGACATGGTTGAATCACCTTAACAATTGATTACAAACTGGATAATTTATATTCAGAAAGCATTTTGTGGAGATTTCAGTATTTTCATAGTTGAAATCAGGAGTCCAATGAAGCCAGACCACAGATCATATACTCACTAGTGACTGATTTCAAGATACATGTCCTGGAGTTCTAGTGGAAAGCGGTGAGCAGTGAAGTTCAACCAGGTCTGTTGTGAGATAACAAATCACTGGCGAACGGTTGCTCAAACTTCGTGGATTGGTTGAAAATAGGCATTAACACCGTTAAATGCCGTCCGGTTCATTGGTCTATCGGTTAAGTGCTCGCACGCGAGACTGGTAGGCCCTGGGTTGGAATCTGTTGAGGCGGGATTGTGGATGCGCACTGCTGAGGAGTCCCACATTAGGACGAAACGTTCATCCAGTGCTTTCAGGTTTTCCATGGTGGTCTAGCTTCAATTGACTCATGATTTCAACTGGGATCATTTATATACTTAAAACAATTCGAAGATAACTTTTTAAAGTGTTCTCTATATCATACGTTTAAGTTTGTTACTGTTATAAACGTTTCAAACAAAATGATGATCTTATTCGATGCTAATATATCAGTTACCAAGACAATACCGTTAAGACAAACCCGGTATTTCAATTTTAACGTTATCAGTATTATTAGGATAGATCTAGAGATTCTTACTGTATATCTAGAACAAATTATTTAAATGTGTACTCTGAATACAGTGTTCAACTTTGGTGATGAGATATATCAACAGGTAGATCATATAGCGATGGATCCATCACTAGCCAACTTCTTCATGGACAGCATTCAAATGAATGGTCTCAAAACATGACAATTAACAAATTATATTTGTATACCACGTTAATGAATGACAAGTTCATAATATATAATGAATATTATCTTACCATTATAAGAAATACATTCCAATAAAAATATCCAGGTCGTCTAGCTGCTCGACATGTTACCGATAAACATGGATGACTTTTCATTGAACTAGAATATTCTTGTTTAATAATTCGTTTTTTAATTTCTACATGTTCATGTAATTTCCATTCCTAAATAAAAGACAATAATCATAAGAATAATTAAGTAGTGATTTCATAAACAAAGTCATCATCTAATTTTGAATTCACTTCACCCCATTGCATAAGCAAATGGCTATCAGGACTCAGTAACTGAGTGGATAACCCGATGGTGTTTGATGCGAAAGGTACTGAGTTCGAGTCCCAGAGTGAACATCAACTCTGTGATGCAAGTACATCCAGCTGATGAGTCCCAATTAGGACGGAACGCGCGTCGTGGATTCCACTGCTATCCACTATCCATCTTTGTTTATTATCTAATTTTGTTTTCTTAATGTTGATAAAAACAACTAACAGTGAAATGTTTAATAAGTATACATTAAACATCAGATAATAAGCTATAGTCAAGTGTATTAACTAATTAGACCTATTCAAAGTGGACATACATTGAGGAAATTACCGAACTGCATTACAAGGTAAGCCTTATTTTGGAATCCGGAAGGGAAGCGGAATAGGGAAAGGCCAAAGAACACATTAGGCCGGGAAATAGAAGCAGATATGAAAAGGATGAATGTTAACTGGAAAGAACCGGAAAGGATTGGTGGCGACAGGGTTGGATGGAGAATACTGATGTAACAGGTAACAGGTATAAGTAAGTAAAGTCAAAAGCCACTTCCTGAAAGAATTCAATATTGACAGAATGAATTGATGAATAAGTTTCCATTGATGACTTCATTCAGTTTCATTTATCTTTTTGAGCATAGAACTTTATGATTAGAGAAACGAATTATTAAATTTCACAGTGAAATCGATCATTTTTCTTCTCTGAGGTGAGAACCATTATATTTGTTTTCACATCAATAACCAATCAAATTAACAAGCTTTTAAAAATGAACCAGAAAAACTTGAGTTTTAAATGTTATAAATGTAATAACTTTAAATTCACTTGGTATTGTTTGTTTGAATCTTCCCATTGACATTTTAGGACTGCAATTGATCAGTCGCTTATTGGCATATGAGCGTACTGTGCGGATTGCCTCAATTTAGCCTTAATTCTCAAGCATTATATGCAAAGATGGATAGTGGATAGCAGTGGAATCCAGGACGCGCGTTTCGTCCTATTTGGGACTTGTCAGCTGGATTTACTTGCATCTCAGATTTAATGTTCACTTTGTGACTCGAACTTAGTACCTTTCGCTTCAAACGTCATTGGGTTATCCACTCAGCTACTGAGTCCTGTTAGCCAATTGGCCAATTCGGGTTTGAGTCCCAAAGTGAACATCAGCTCCGAGATGTATTTATATCCCAGTTTTCAGGTCTTACGGAGAGAACAATATTTTTTACATCTCTTAGTTGCAATTCAATTGTTTAGATGTTAATTTATGATATAACATGAATGGTGAAGTTCAACCATATTAACAATTTGACAACTATGAAAATACTAAATCTTCACTAAACCCCTGTTGAGGAATCCCATAATGTGACGAAACGGTCGTCCAGTGCTTCCATTTTTTACGTGGTAGTCTAGCTTCAATTGACTAACGCTTTCAACTATGAAAATACTGAAATCTCCACAAAACCCCTTCTGATAATTTGACAACAATAGTAAGCGTTTATCATCGATGATGGCCATTTAAAATTGATTCCGTTGTACTTGGTCAATTGATTCCTACACCATGAACCATATCATACTATCATGATAATTCACTATTTAAATACCATATTTCTACAATGAACTAATTTGTCGAAGTAAAAAATTGTCAGAAAAGTAGTAGTCAATGTTGTTGTTTGTTTGTTTATTTATTTATTTGTTTGTTCTCCTTCTATTCAAAACACAGCAGGTATTATTTTTAATTGTTTATTTTAAAATTATTAATAATTCAAATGTCATACATAACCCCCTTCCCCCCCACAAAAAAATTTAAAAAAAACAAACTATGTTGCATTATAGTATTCATTATAAAAACAATAACAAGATCTGTCATAAATAAACAAAACACATTTCGTATTTTTTTTTTAATTGTAAACAAATGTGAGTAATTAATAAATATGAAAGGTATTTACCAAGCAACAATTTGTTTAAAATAACCGGTTTTGTTAAAGTTCATTACTCCTAAACTGTTTGTTTTACTATTACTATTACTACTAACACTACTATTGCTCATCCTCCTCCTCCTCCTTCTCCTACTACTACTACTACTACTACTACTACTACTACTACTACTACTACTACTACTACTACTACTACTACTACTACTACTACTACTACTACTACGACTACTACTAAGACTACGACCACTACTACTACTACTACTACGACTACGACTACGACTACTACTACTACTAAGGCTACGACCACTACTACGACTACTGCTAACACTGCTATTGCTCCTCTGCCTCCTCCTCCTCCTCCTCCTCCTCCTCCTCCTACTACTACTACTACTACTACTACTACTACTACCACTACTATTACTACTACTACTGCTACCACTACTGCTACTACTACTACTGCTGCTACTACTATCACTACTACTATTAATCATGTTTACATTTTAATAAGAAAATAAGGTGTAACATTTAAATGTTGATTTCTTATATAGAACTAATTCTATATGTTTATTCAATTATCCAAAATAATGTTATATTAATTATATTATTATTTAATACACCAAATACGTTTGTTTATTTATATTGAAGTATGTAGACATTACAAGGTACATAGAACACTATTGTAAAAACATGCTTATAATGATTCAATCTACAGGTGAATTCAATTAACTGAAGTGAACCTTTAATAATTTGTAAATAAACTTTTGAAAAACAGGGATAGAATACTAAATGATATTTATTTAAATTTGTTATTAGTTGAGTTACTATGCAAATTGATTAAATATTAAGGTAATAAAAATCAATAAGTAGAAGTGCTTCGGTGCGAGACTAGTAGGTCCTGGTTTGAATCTCACTCGCGAGGAGGGATCGTCGATGCGCACTGCTCAGGAGTCCCATGATAGGACGAAACGGCCGTCCAATGCTTCCAGGTTTTCTATGGTGGTCTAGCTTCAATTGACTCATGATTTCAATTATGAAAATGTTCATTAGACAATATTACACAAAATTAATCATTTTAATAGTTAAGATCATGAATCCATTGAAGCTAGATCACCATGAAAAACCTGGAAGCACTGGATAGCCGTTTCATCCTATTGTGGAACTCCTCGGCAGTGGGCATCTAAGATTCCGCCTCGCGAGTTTCAAACCCAGGACATATCAGTCTCGCGCGCGAGCGCTTAACCTGTAGACCACTGATTCAGTATCCAACTTAAATCAATCCACAAAGATAATAAGATAGTGAAAATATCTATGAAACAAATAAGAGTATTATCAAATAAAAACGAATGAAATATTCAAAAATTCAACTATATATAAAGGTTTTATGTAGGACACATATTGTGGAAATCACTTAACTGAGTCACAAGGCAGAACCTCACATGGAGTCCTGAAGGCCAAAGGACAAGAGGAAGACCAAAGAATACATTATGCCGAGAAATGGAGACAGACATAAGAAGAATGAACAAAAATTGGATAGAACTCGAAAGGAAGGCCCATGACAGAGTTGGTTGGAGAAAGCTGGTAGTCGACCTATGCTCCATTGGGAGTAGCAGGCTTAAGTAAGTAAGTAAGTATACGTTTTATAAATCTCAATCATTATATCTGACTGCAGATCAGATAACTTCCAGCAATATATCAGAGAATTTTATTATTTCATGGAAGTTAACCAATAAATTGATTCTTCGAAGCACACCTAAGAAGTATGGTTAATAAATATACAAATATGTAGTATATCTTCTTACAAACAATCAAGAGCATCTATCCGCCAAGTTACCTTAACTACACAGTTACTTACGCCTGTTACCCCTCGTGGAGGATCAAATTACAGTAAGAATAATGTATGCTAATTTATTTTGTCATTGTTATTTCTATGATAGATCATCAGTATGGAATAAAATGTAGGATTATGGTATTAAATTATTGTTACATTACAACACAGAGTGATATCAATTTAAGAATAAGTAAACAAATAAACTGAAGAATTACTTAATACTTACTTACGCCTGTTAACTCTAGTCGAGGAGCATAGGCCGCTCATCAGCATTTCCCATCAAACTCTGTCCTCACCAATCCTTTCCAGTTCTTTCCAGTAAACATTCATCCTTATCATATCTGCTTCTATTTCCCAAAATAATGTGTTGTTTGGCCTTCCTCATCTCCGCTTCCCTTCACCATTCCAACTTAGGGTTTGCCTCATGGTGAAGTTTGGTGATTTCCTGAATGTATGTCAGATACACTTCCAACGTCTTTTACTAATTTCCTCTTCAGCAGCAACTTCGTTTGTACTCTCTCATAAAACGCTGTTGCTGATAGTATACAACCAGTGAATGTTGAGTATTTTGCATAGACAACTGTTTATAAATACTTGAATCTTCTTGACGATGGATGTTGTAGTTCTCCAGGTTTCAGTTCCGTTCAGTACAACTGACTGTCTTGACCTTCGTATTGAAGATTCTCACTTTGAAATTAGTTGACATTTGTTTTGAGTTCCATATGTTCTTCACATGTAGGAATGTTGCCCTTGTTTTGCCAATCCTCGCCTTTACATCTCCATCCGATCGTCCTTATTTATCAATGATGCTTCCCATTTACGTGAATGTTTCCACCTCTTCCACAGTATCTCCATCAAGTGCAATTGGTTTGGTTGGTGTTCTCTGTGTTGTATTTGAGAATCTTGCTTTTTCCTTTGTTTATGTTGAGGTCTATCAATGCAGGGGCTGCCACTACAATGTCGTGTTAATCTATTGTTGATTAAATTGTTACTATGTAAATGTTATTTTAAATGATTGAACATCCCTTTCGATATAACAAATATTATGAAATCTATTTTAAAAGATTCCTCCTAATCGTCTCTTATCATCTGACTTCAATGTCTATTTTTAGATTATTCTTAAAATATGTCATTTATCGTTATCACTATGATG